ATTTAAAAAAAATTCTCTGTACTTTTTTTTCTCCTCTTCTGGAATTTCCATTACACACAAATTATTCCTCTTGATTGTGTCTCACATAATTCTTAGGCATTCTTCATTTTTCTTCACTCTTTTTTCTGAGTATTCCTCAAACAAATTAGTATCAAGGGTTTGTCTTCTATTTCACTGATTCTTTCTTCCATTGATTCAATTCTACTTCTGTGTCCTTCCATTGTGTTATCTATTTCTGATATTTTGTTAATCTTCTGAACTTCTAACTTTTAAAAAAATTTTATTATGCTTTAGGTGAAAGTTTACAGCTCAAGTTAGTTCCTCATTCAAAAATTTATACACACACAGTTTTGTGACATTGGCTGCAATCCCTACAATGTGACAGCACTCTCCCCCTTTCCACCCTGGCTTCCCCATGTCCATTCATCCAGTTTCCTGTCTCTTCCTGCCTTCTATCTTGCATTTGGGCAGGAGTTGCCCATTTGGTCTCATATACTTGATTAAACTAAGAAGTACGTTCCTAATGTGTGTTATTTATTTATTTATTTTTAATAGGCTTGTCTAATTTTTGTCTGAATAGTGGGCTTTGGGAGTGGCTTTAGTTCTGAGTTAGCAGGGTGTCTGGGGGCCATAGTCTCAGGGGTTCCTCCAGTCTCTGTCAGACTAGTAAATCTCATGTCTTTTGTGAATCTGAATTTGTTGTGATCCCGTCAGAGCAGTCAGTGGTGGTAAACGGGCACCATCTAGTTCTTCTGGGCGCATGCCGGCAAAAGCTATGGTAGTTGTAGTCCTTTAGGCTAGTATTCCTTGTGTGTTTGGTTTCCTTCAGTCTCCTTTGCTATGGATGGGATGGAACCAATAGATGTATCTTAGATGGCCGCTCACAAGCTTTTAAGACCCCAGACGCTACTCACCAAAGTAGAATGTAAAACATTTTCTTTATGAACTATGTTATGCCAATTGACTTGGATGTCCCCTGAGATCATGGTCCCTAGCAACTCGGTCCCTCAATGTGTTTGGATGTGTCTAGGAAATTTCTATGACTTTGCCTTGGTCAAGTTGTGCAGACTTCCTCTATACTGTTCTTTCCCTTCACCAAAGTTGACACTTTTCTACTATCTAGTTAGCGACTTCCCCTCCCCATCCTCATAACCATCAAAGAATGTTTTCTTCTGTGTGTAAATCTTTTCTTGAGTTTTTATAATAGTGGTCTCATACAATATTTGTCTTTTAGTGATTGACTTATTTCACTCAGCATAATGCCCTCCAGATTCACCCATGTTGTGAGATGTTTTGCGGATTCATCACCGTAGTATTTCATTGTGTGTATGCACCATAACTTGTTTATCCATTTATCTGTTGATGGGCATTCAGATTGTTTCCATCTTTTTGCTATTGTGAATAATGCTGCAAGGCACATGGGTGTGCATATGTCTATTTGTGTGGTGGCTCTTATTTATCCAGGATATATTCCGAGGAGTGAGATTGCTGGATCATATGGTATTTCTATCTCTAGCTTTTTAAGGAGGTGCCAAATTGTTTTCCATAGTGGTTGTACCATTTTACATTCCCACTAGTAGTGCATAAGAGTTCCAATCGTCCTATAACCTCTCCAACATTTATTATTATTATTTTTTGATTAGTGCCAGTATTGTTGGAGTGAGATTGTATCTCATTGTAGTTTTGATTCTAGTTGTTGTTTTTGTATCGTTTTTAATTGTCTATTGAGTCTGTCATTTTGTTCTTGTATTGTTTTCCTGAATTCTTCCAGGGTTTTTTCCTGTGTTTTCCTTGATCTCTTTGAGGATCCTAAACATAAGTCTTTTGAATTCCTTCTCAGGCAGTTTTATCATCATTTCTTCCTCAGGAAGGTTTCATTTTGCTCACTTGTTTGAACCATCTTATCTTATTTATATTATTTGTTATTGTCTGCTGTTTCCGAAGCATTAAGGTGCTATTTTATTTATTTATATATTTACTGATTGTATGTTTGTTTTGTCCTAATTTTTTTGTTGTTTTGATATATCAGGGCAGGCGGGGTGCGCGTACTCTGCTGATCACTGTTCTGTGGCACAGAAGTACTCACTATCTATTACTTGGTAGGTGGGGTGGCAGCAGCAGCGGGGGGGAGGTTGGGTGGGGTGGATGCATGTCACTCATCATCAGCTGGGCAGTGTGGCAGACAGGAGTGGGTAGGGTGGCAGCATCTGGTGGTGGAGGAGTGCATGCTGCTGCTCGTGGGTGGGCAGGGCGGCAGGTGGGGAGTGATGGGTGGTGCGGGGCACATGCACTGCTGCTCGCCAGGTAGGCAGGAGAGTGGGAGTGGTGATGGGTGGTGTGGACATGTGTCACTGATCATGAGTGAGGAGGGGCTGAGGGGGAGAACAGGGGCTTCTACCTTGGGACCTGGGTGGGTGGGGCAGTGGGGGTGGGGAGCATGCTCCTCTGGTCACCAGGTATGGGGGGTGGGGTACTCCCCCTAAGCTGCATGCAGTAATCAGGACCTGGCCCCGGCAAAATGCAAAGTGGGGGGCACTGTCTAGCATCTGGTCAGGTGGAGGGCTGCCTGCTGACAGTCTATGGATCTACTACTTCATGTGCTCCACCCACTCTAATGGTCAGGGACCGCCGCTGTGCGTGGTCCTGTCTCTGGTTCCTGGCTCCTCCCTGCTCTGTGGCTGCCAGGATGCCTGGAGCTCTTGCCTGCCTTATTGTACTTTGTCTTCATAGATCCGGTTCACGTCCTGCTCATCTTGCTTTACTCCATGTTTGTCTACACAGTTTCTCTGTCTCCTATTGGCAATTCTGTGAAGTTGCCTTCCTGTGCTCCTCACCTGGGGTTACTGCTTACTTTGTTTCAAGATGGCCATGCTGTATTGGGCTGGCTGACAGGGTACCTCTGATCCGTAACTCTTCTCGTTTGCTGTTTTCATTCAGTTTCTCCTTCCAATTCGTGTTTCATCTAGTTCTTCATCCTTCCTTTTGATGCTCAGGGTTCTAGGATTGTCATCTGTACCTATTTCACTTGGTTTCTTGGGTCTTTGCTGCAGGGTGACAGCATGTTGTGTCTGACCATCTTGGGCTGTCTTCCTGTAGCTTCTTTCTGTATAAAATATTTCCATTACATGGAAAAGTACTGATAATTCTTACTATAAGTTTAAAGGAAACCCTGGTGGCATAGTGGTTAAGAGCTATGCCTGCTAACCAAAAGGTTGGCAGTTCGAATCCACCAGGTGCTCCTTGGAAACCCTATGGGGCAGTTCTATTCTAGTTCACTTCCCAGGAAGAAAATCAATAGTGTGTGATAACAAAGGTCTAAATGAATGAAACTGAGAACAAGTAATCTTCAAGTCCTCTGACAATGAAAATGTTTAAAAACAAAAACTTTTAACTATAGAATAGGAAAGAGGATACTTGAGAAAGGGAAAAAATTACACCTTTTCACTGATTAATTACATGTCAGCTCTTTAACTTAGTCATATGTGTGGGATTGGGAGGGAATGCCTTGAAACATAACTCTAAGATTATAAATATAAACTGATAGTCTGGAAAGATGATATAACATATCTATGATTTTGCATAAGAAGATGTGGCATGAACATAAAAAGATAAAGCAGCATGGAAAGAATCTATATGATTAATAGTTTGGATTTATAATGTCATATGGTTGTTAGCTACTGCCTAGTTGGCCCCAGGCTCATGGAGATCACACGCACAAGACTGGACTATTGTAATCTACTTGGTTTTCACTGGCTGATTTTCAGAAGTAGATCACCAGGCCTTTCTTTCTAGTCTGTCTTAGTCTGGAAGCTTCGCTGAAACTTGTTCAGCATCACAGCAACACGCAAGTCTCCACGGTGGCTGCACTTGCTTAAGGTTCAATGGCAGGGAACTGTACCCAGGTGAGGCAACTATAAAAATAGGTTAAGTCTTTAGATAGAATAGCAAACATAAAAGGAATAAGATTTCAAAATATGGAAGTGAAATCAAGACCTCAGAAAAGGTCATTTAAAAAAAGGGATAAGAAAAATAAATTTTTGAGAACGAGGCGAAGCAAAGATATAGAAATGTTTATGCTTATGAATAGTTCCAACTAAGCAGAGAGTAACAGACTCTGATTTAAGAATGATCACCTACATACTATAGTTCATTAGTAGTATTTAACACAGTGACTAGGATTGTCTGGGTGAATGAGATTCTTCTACATTAAAGTTTCTGAGTATCTTCAAAGGTCTTAATTATGAACTAATTTATTTTTCTTACATTTCAACTTACTCTAAAAATAAGTCAAGGGCCTTAAAGAACATTTTATTTGGGGTGGGAAGGAGGCTATCTTAAAAAGGCAAGTATGCAAGTAAAACGAAATCATATTGGTGAGAATGTTTTAAATTATTTGGAGGAAATGTGTTCCATAACAAGGCAACATTATTATAAAAACCGTGGTGTTTGTTTCCAGTTGGAGATCAGTCAAATTTTTTTTAAAAGTCTCTTGAAAATAAAATTGTTTCTTGGGAAAGTTCATTTCTATACTAAGACTTAGCTGCAGCCAACATAACAGAAGTTCTAAGAAATCTGGAATACAAATCAAAAACAGGTCTGAACGCCAGCAAACCTAAGCTGCAAGCTCGGACCAGACCTGTACAGGTCACGAGCAGCCCCAACAATGAGAAAGGTAGCAAGGCCTTTGCTCTTATGAAGCAAGAGATCTGAGACAATTAGGCCTAAAGTCCACCAAGCTCAGGTAGGCAGACGGTGAGAGAAGGTACAAAACCGGGAGCTCCTTCTCAGCATGAAACATGCTTTCAGCCCAGGGAAGGTGGTGCAGGACCCCAGAGAGGAGCGCAGCCAGGCCGGCCACCTAGGGCAGTGTCAGGCACACCAGCCGGCTGCCTCGCGCCGGCCACATCACCAGCCCGGAGGGAAACGTAGGGGAACGAGTCACCGCGACAGCCCGCAAAGAACCGCCCCCAGAGCGTCAGAGGACAACGGGCCGACGTTACCTCCACCCACTGGGCCGCGACGTCCCCCTCGGCTGGGCGTACTTGCAGCTGGGCATGCAGGCACTGCTGCAGGAGAGCCCGGGCCTGAAGCGTCCGGCCGCCCTCGGCCATGGGTCAAGCCTGCCCCGCGACCCGACGCGCTCAGGCTGCTTACAGCGCAATATTCTCTCTGGGCGCGCAAGGAGGAAGAAGAGGTCCGCGACCGGCCGACCACCGAGGCTCCGCCCTCAGGTGGGGCGGGGCCTCTACGTAGTTCTCAGGTGTCCCGGATGTGCTGACTTCAAAGACTAAGTCTAAGCCCCTCCGCATAACTTACCTAGCACTGTAGAAGGCGCTCAGTGTATGCTTTCAAACGGGTGAAAAAGACTCATTGGATCTCTTTCCCACAAACCTTTTGAAGAAACATTTTTCAATTGCGAAAGCCTAGGTTTCCAGGTGTTAAAATGTTTGGAATCTGCTTGATTTAGGTCCGTATTATGCCCATTATGCAGGCAGATAAGTAAACAGAATGAATCAGTTGAATCAGAAAGCAAGAGAAGGAACTAAAAGCTATAAATCTTACAAAAAATTTCCTGACGCCAGTCAATAAAACAGCGCTGCCTCTCTGTCAGGAATGCTATAAATCATTCTGACTTCTCAGTTGCGGAAATGTATTGGTATGCTATGTGAATACACATTTGGGGATCAATCCTTTAAAAAATACTCTCACCGAAAATATTCCTATTCAAGAAAGTTGTGTGATTTTTAATAAATTATTCTAATTAAAAAAATTAAATGACATAGTCTCATGTATATAATATTAAATTCTGTGATACATTTCTTGTAAGTACATATTCAAATGTCAAATGAAACAAGGGCTTGATTTTCTTTCCCACATAATGTATTCCTTAAACATGCATCAGATTAGCATTTATTTCTCCATGGGCTTGGAGGGTTTAGACGAGGAATAATAGCATTACCCTGATTGCATTACCCAGGTCATTGATTTGGGCTCAGTTGGCACAATATGCCTATAGATTTGGATCTGTTATTTTAGAAGATGACATCACTGACAGTTTTGCTGTCCCTACAAAGTAGTGTGACTGAAAAAAACAATTCACGCATGATCAACCGTCCTTTCTACCCAAAATTGAAGCTGCTTGTTTGCTGGTTATCTTGTAGGCTGCCTTACAGTTTTGCTAGAAACAAAAAGCAAAATCTCGCATTATCTCTGATTGCTGCATTGCAGGGGTCCCTGCATTTGTTGGCATTTGTCTGCAAACCACAGCTAAATTGCATTGCTTAATGTCTGAACCTCTCTGTCATTATAACTATTGGGTCTTTTTTCTCTCCCATTCCCAGAACCAAGTTTTACAGGGCTGGAAGGGTTTTGATGTAGAGGCCAGAATAAGAGAGGACTTTGGTGTGCATTTGTATGTGGGTGCAGGAGATAGGCAGATCTATTGAAAATAGGGTATATGGTCTCCAGAGATCTTGCCACAGAGAAGGAACCCTTCTGTGAATAGACGGCGTCTGGCTCGTAACGGTTACCTGCTCAAAAATCGCCAAATACTATAAACCTTCCTCCTGGCTGAGAATCTCCTGGGCATGCAGTGTGGAGTGTAAAAGGTTGTGTCTCACGTATTCTTTCTTTCTACCTGTAGAGGGCAGTAGAGAGTAGGCACCAAGAATAGGAAGCATTTCTGTATTTCATTTTTTTGAACACCCAGTCTCATTCCAGAAAGAATTTAAGGAGGCAGGACATATATGTAATAAAATAGTAAAATGTGAATCAAAATAAAGCATTGGGAGTATAGAAAATAGAATTAAGTCAGTACGTCAAAATGGGGGGAATTTGCAATGTTCTACATTCTACCTTGGTGAATAGCATCTGGGGTCTTAAAAGCCTGTGAGCAGCCATCTAGGATACTCTACTGGTCTCATCCCTTCGGGAGCAAGGGAGAATGAAGAGAACAGGATACAAGGAAAAGCTTAGTCCAAAGGACTAATGGACCACAGCTACCAAGGCCTCCACCAGACTGAGTCCAGTACAGCTAGATGGTGCCCGGCTACCACCACGGACTGCTCTGACCAGGATCACAACAGAGGGTTCTGGACAGAGCTGGAGAAGGATGTAGAACAAAATTCTAACTGACAAAAAAAATCCCAGATTACTGGCCTAAAGGAGATTGGAGAAACCCCGAGAGTATGGCCCCCAGACACCCTTTTAGCTCAGTGGTGAAGTCATCTCCGAGGTTCACTGTTCAGCTGGGGAGTGGACAGCCCCATAAAATCAAATGGGACTAATGAGGTACAGCAGTCCAGGGACAAGGGTCAGAAGGCAGAAGGGGACAAGGAAGCTGGTGATAGGGAACCCAAGGTTGAGTAAGGATAGTGTTGATGTGTTGTGAGGTTGTTAACCATTGTCATAGGGTAACATGTGTACTGACTGTTAAATGAGAAACTATTTTGTTCTGTAAGCCTTCATCTAAAGTGAGAATAGCAGCACAAAAGAGCGTACTCAATGTCACTGAACTGTGTATGTAGAAATTTTTGAAATGGTGTATCTTTGGCTATGTATATTTTCACCAAAAAAAAAAAAAGGTAAGGAAGAGAGAGGGTTGACATGTTGTGGGGTTGTTAACCAATGTCATAAAACAATATGTGTACTACTGTTTCATGAGAAACTATTTGTTCTGTAAGCCTTCATCTGAAGTACAATTAAAAAAAATTGGGGGGAATTTGAACTCAAACAAGTAGATAAGAGTGGTTCTTAACTGGAGTGCTAAGATGATACAGTGTGTAGCAAAGCTTTCACTGATGTAACAGGGGTGGATTAATCAGTAAACGCGGTATGCACCGGATTGCAGTAAGCAAGGTACATACGCACAGGCTTAATTGTGTTTACTTACTACTCTGTAATGAAACAATTTCACCTGGTTTTCACCACAGTTGATATGGTGAAATTGCTCACTACAGATTGGTAAGTAAACACAATTAAGCCCACGCATACCTTGCTTATTGGGTAATCTGTCCTTGGATGTATAATTTTAATTTTGTTATAAAACAACTATGCCAACCGTATGTAATGTTGAGGTGAAGCAGGTTGTACAATTTGCTCTGAGTTAGAAGTAAAAGGCAAAACATCATATGAAAGTGGCCCGAAAGAAAAATGGTAGTTCACTGGAACATGACAAAGCTTTGCCCATGAGCAGACATTTTCCTAAAATTTAGTTCCAAAATGAATCTCTTACCTGAGGCTTTAGATGGGAGTATGGTAATCAACAGAAGTGCAACTGGAAGAGTAGCTGTTTTATCTTATGGAAGGTGGGATGAAATCTAGCCCCCACTTCAAAGCTCAAAGATTTATTTTTTTCAGTGCCTAGGCAGGTGTGGAGCCCTGGTGGTGCAGTGGTTAAGAGCTTGGCTGCTGACCAAAAGGTCACCAGTTTGAATCCACCAGCTGCTCCTTGGAAACACTATGGGGCAGTTCTGCTCTGCCCTATAGGGTCACTATCAGTTGCAATCGACTTGAGGGCAATAAGTTTGTTTTTTTGGGGGGAGGTGAAGGAGCTCTGGTTGCACAGTGGTTAAGCCCGTTGGCTGTTACCTGGAAGGTCAGTGGTTGGAACCCACCAGCCATTCCACAGGAGAAAGATGTGGATGTCTGTTTCCTCCCTAAAGATTTACAGCCTTCATAAAAAATAAATAAATAAAAAAAGATTTACAGCCTTGGAAATTTTATGGGGCAGTTCTACTTTGCCCTGTAGGGTTGCTATGAGTTAGAATCAACTCCATGGCAACTTGTTTGGTTTGGTTGCTTTAGAGAGGTGATCAGGTTCTGAGAAACTGGTATAAACTAACTGAAATGCACATGAGATTGGAGTAAAACTAGAATACTAATTTATTGATTTATAATAAGAAATATTGCTGAGAAATATTGCTGTGACATGGAGTGGTTAAGTTACATGGGATACTAGATCATATTCAGAAGTCTCTTTATTAATTTACTGTGAGAAGTACTCAAAGTATGTTTGACCAGTGTTTTCCCTTTATGTAGGCAGAACAACACAGAAATTAGGACACTGCTTGGCGAGCAAGGGGTCAGAATAAATGGGATGAGAACTGAATTACTGTGGGAACACTCAGATATGATCCCAAGTACTAACCACAGGAAACAGTGAGGAATATAGTGAACTATGTCTCTATAGGAGCCCTGGTGGTGCAGTGGTTAAGAGCCCAGCTGCTAACTAAAAGGCTGGCAGTTCAAATCCACCAAATGTGGTACCAGTAGTAACTATGTCCCTATAGCAACATCTTATAGTAAATGTAGTATCAAATTTTCTAGGGCACTTTCTTGAATTGTCCCTTGATGAAATCACAATCCCTTGGTGTGACCCAAATATGAAAGCAATTCTTCAGAGGCAATATGTTCTCAACATGCTGATCTGATGGTCCTGCTCTACTAAAGATAAACATATGAACTTTGTATACTTCAACCAATCCTAACTGTGTTAGTTTCCTATGGCTACCATAACAAACTACCACCAATGAGTTGGCTTATAAGAACAGAAATGTATTGTCTCACAGTTCTGGAGGGTAGGAGTCCAAATTCAGGGTTACAGCAGTGCCAGGCTCTGTCTGTCCACTTTAGTGGAAGATTCTTCCTTACATCTTCCAGCTTCTGTTAGCCCTGTGAATTTCCTGGTGTTCCTTGATGTGTAGGTGCATCTTCAGAAGACTGTTTTCCCTCTATGTATCTGTCTCTGTGTGTCTTCTGTTCTTTTATAAGGACACCAGTCATATAGGATTAGGACCCACGCTACTGGAGTATAACCTCATGTTAACTGGTAACATCTTCAAAGATTCTGTTTCCAAACAAGTCACATTCACAGGTACAGAGGTTAGAACTTCAATATATCGTTTTTGGGGACACAATCCATAGCACTAACCATTTTTTTCACCCGGACTTTTGAGAAACGTTGAACAATGGGATAGTTAAAGGTTTAATCCCTGTCAAGGGTCTGTCTGCAAAGCAGGTATTATTTACCCAAGACACTGTAAGTAATGATCATAGGAGCAAAGAATGAGGTTACAATTTTTATTGAAAAGTGAAAGATCTAAGTAGGATGCTCATTTGGATGAACGGTGGATCCAAGGGTTTCTGAA